TATAGATTCTTTTCAGATAGAATTCTTTTCATTTCTTTATTACTAGCATATTAAATTACTAGTTTCTTTATTACTACTATCTTTATTACTAGCATCTTTTTGCCTACAAATTTCCAGGGTTTAAATGTAAAGTAAATGTAGATCTAAATGTAGATTTAAATGTAGATTTAAATGGAGATTTAAATGGAGATTTAAATGTAAACTAACTGTAAATTTAAATGTAGGTTTAAATGTAGATTTAAATATAGATTCAATTGTAAACTACATAGATTTAAATGCAGGTTTAAATGTAGGCTTAAATGTAGGTTTAAATGTAGGTTTAAATGTAGATTTAAATATAGATTCAATTGTAAACTAAATAGATTTAAATGTAGATTTAAATGTAGGTTTAAATAATAATAATACTTTATTCAAACGATAAAGTGAAAGAAATCATAGAGAAATGCACAGTGATACTTAATCATACAATACATACTGAAATCAATAAGCCAATTACTTACGGCAAAGAGCCACTAGATCTAAAGCATCGATACGTTTCTTGAATATGAAAAGCGACTGAATTTCTCGTATGTCGTTTGGGAGCAAGTTCCATAATCTAGCGGCTCTAACGGGAAATGAATTTGATAAAGAGGCATTGGAAGCAACGGGAATTTGCAAAAGGAATGAGCCACTTCTGGGCCCTGACCGCGGTTTAAATTTGAAAAAGTCTATAAACAAAGGGCTAATTAGGTTTAAATGTAGGTTTAAATGTAGGTTTAAATGTAGATTTAAATGTAGGTCGAAATGTAAACTAAATATGGATTTAAATGTGGATTTAAATCTAAATTTGAATGCGATGCAAAAGAGAGATTAGCATAACTAGATTTGCATATCATTTTGATTTTTTCTTTGATTGTTAACTTAGGCATTTAGACATTAAGCGGATAAAAATCCATTAAGGATTTGAAGTTAAATGCTAACTTCTGCTAATTTCTGCTAATTCATGCAATTTAGACAAACATTATTGCAAATTTACATGAAATTTGTGGGCAAAAGACTGTTTAAAGTTAAACAAATTTGCTTAAAGAGTACTTTAAGAGTACTTTAAGAGTACTTTAAGAGTACTTTAGGAGTACTTTAAGCAAATTTGCTGGCAAACAATGCTGCAAGCAATTTGCTGGCACTTTATGCAAACATTATGCAAACTTTATGCAAACATTATGCAAATTAACATGAAATTCTACAAAAGATGTCCTTTATGCAAATTTCCATCCTTAAATCCTTCCAAAAAGCACAAAAAATGATAAAATTTTCTATTCAGATACGTGACAAAGTGATGCTGAAAGGGTAAAGCGGAGGATGAGTTATGAAGCGGTTCTTGTGCAGGTTTTCGTTTTAAAACACTTTTTTTTTGAGTCATTTACGTTTATGCATAGCTTCTTTTTGATTTACATATCTAGATTTTCGAATTTCGAAGTCTTAAACGCAAACTAAACCAATATTTTCAGCTAGAACCCGGCGCACAAGAAGGCCAACCGGATGTGCAGACGACATTTCGTAAGTTATCAGTTTGAAAAGGGATTTAAAATTGTTTAAATATTAAAATACGATTAAAATACTATCAAAATACTATTAAAATACTTCTAAAATATGCAAAATATCTGGAATTTTTCCATCTAGGCATGCTGATTCGACCATCGAGCGCCGGCGCCTCGTCGAATATCGTAAGTCTCAAAAATTGACTTAACTTTTGATCCACAATTTGCTTATGATAAATATATATTAGATAAGATGGGCCTTGTATAGTTTTCCATAATTTTTCGAAAGAATCCGGGTATTTTGAAAAATCTGGGCATTTTGAAAAAATCCGGGTTTTTCAACGGGTCGTCACACTTTGAAGGCCTATAACTTCGCCCAGAGACCATATTTTTGTTAACTTTTTATAGCATTGTACAGAGGACATTTCAGGCTTCCAAATGATACCAAATAGAGCTTGATTGGGCTTTCCATTCCCATACCAACAAGGCGACATGACACTCGAGTTGGAAATGCCTTATTTGCTCAGAGTTGGCTCTGATTTTCCTTGACTAGATTATCCAATTAAGCTCTATTTAATATCAATTGAAAGCCTGAAATTTTCTCTATACAATGATATAAAAAGTTAGCAAAAATATGGTCTCTGGGCGAAGTTATAGGCCTTCAAAGGGTGACGATCCGTTGAAAAACCCGGATTTTTTCAAAATACCCGACTTCTTTCAATGGATTCTTTTAAAATACCCGGAAATTACGCAAGAGCTGATAATATTTAGATATAAATATTTGTTAGATCATAAAGTTTAGAATGCAAATCCGACCACCGTCTCGGCATCGACAAACCCGATGCCGACGACGAATGGAGCAGCGGCGCCGAGATTTCAACTTTATGCCATTAATGCCCCGCAAATCCCATATACGCCAGGTTTGCTATTAAAGTAGATCTATTTTTTAGCTAATTAACTTATAGCTAATTGCATATAGCTAATTGTAAGTTATAGAGATAAGCCTTAAAAACAGTTTTATGCAAGAGCTATGAATGAACAAGAGGTAACTACTCGAAATCTTTGCCCATTCTTATTGTTAGCTCGAATTTGATTCAGAAAAAATACCAAGCTACATCTTTTTTATGCAATCTTTAGGCTATTTCCTTTTTTTCTTTTCTCTGATGCTTTCTTTTATGCGCAGTATGCCTAAGGTTTAAGGAGAACAAGATATTCAGTCATAGCTTTAGAATAAAGGAGGATAGATAAGCTTGAACGCAGAACAACCACAATAAAGCCACTATTTCTTCATCGTATCTTTATGATTCTCTATCCTAATCATAGTATCTAATAACAGTCTATTGCAGTTCATTGCTTTCAAAAGTAATGAACTTTTCCAGGTCCAAATGCCAGTCTACCACCAGTGCCTGCGGCTCGATCCTCAGGGCCGACAAAACTCGTTTTTCGCGGATCTGGTGCACCGAAGGTAAAAAGAAACTTGTAAAACGAAACTGTCACAAAGCGGGGATATTCTTAAATCTTAGTCTTATGTCATAGATAAAAATCTATTAGTAAAAAAGTTAGATTGGACAAATTTTCCCATTTCACTTTACTTTTACGAAAATCTTAGACATTAAAACGTTAAAATCAAGATTTTTCTATATGTTAGTAATAAAGAAATGAAAAGAATTATATAATAAATAAAAAAAGCTACAATTCTATTTAGATAATAATAAATATTCTTATAGAAGAGTCCCCTATCCGAGCGTTGCATAGTCTAAAGTTTACTCTCTAAACAAACGCTCATATCTTAACACCAGTACTTTTGTTGCTGTGCGCTTTGGTATCAAATTAAAGTAGAGAAAATGGGTGATTTTTTGAGATATAAAACATCTTTTTAACTTTAACCAGCGCCTTAAAAAAAATGATTGAAAAATGATGAAAAATCTTTTTTGCCACTTTTCAATAATTTTTTCTAAGCGCTGGTTAATGCTAAAAATATGTGTTATATCTGAAAAAATCACCCATTTTCTCTACTTTAATTAGATATCTAAGCGCGCAGAAAAAAACGTACTAGTGTCAAGATATCAGTGCTTGTTTGAGAGTAAACTTTGACTAAGCGCCCATTGGGTTGTTTTTAAAACTAAGTTTCGCTCAGAATTTTGCGTGGAATCCGATCCCCTAGGCCTCGTAGTCAAAATCCCTACCCCTATAGGAGCGTCGCGTCGTCAAAGGCCCCTCTATTAGAGTTTTTATGGTAGCCAAGAAACCCTGCAAGAGTAAATTTCGACTTTTTCATTTGACTTTTCATTTTCATTTGACTTTTTGACTTTTTGACTGATCTGTTTTTCACGAGTAACATGTTTTCTAAAAGATGGGTTGTTTTGAAACTTGTAGTCAGATTTAAGCTATAATCTAAACACTAAAAAACATCTTTAGCTACTAAAAACCATATCTAAATACTAAAAAAACATATCTAGATACTAAAAACATCTTTAGATATTAAAAAAACAGATCTAAACACTAAAAAGCCTATCTAAACACTAAAGAAACATATCTAGATACTAAAAAACAGAACTAAATAAAAAAAAGCTACACTTCTAATAGATAATAATAAATCTTCTTATAGAATCCGAGCGTTGCATAGTCTAAAGTTTACTCTTTAAACAAACGCTCATATCTTGACACCAGTACTTTTGTTTCTGCGCGCTTTGGTATCAAATTAAAGTAGAGAAAATGGGTGATTTTTTCAGATATAACACATTTTTTTAACTTTAACCAGCGCCTTAAAAAAATGATTGAAAATAGGCAAAAATCGACTCTTTTTCCCACTTTTTAATCATTTTGTTTGAGCTTGAGAACTGTTTGAAATTAGCATTGAGTCAAGCTACGAGACCTAGCGCATCGGATTCTACGCAAAATTCTGAGCAAAACACAGTTCTAAGACCCAATGAGCCCAACCCAATGAGCTCTTTAACCAGTGTAAAAATTGGGAAAATTGGGAGCGCGAAAAATCTTTTGAAAATCGGAGCTCTCTCTATTAAAGCCTTCCCTCGTCGCCTTACTAACGTGGCCGGTTGGCCTAGTGGTTATTGTGCTCGATTTCAAAGCGTTCGGCGCTGGTTCGGACCCTCTCACGGTCAATCAAGGTCAATCAATCAACGTGTTTGCTTTTTTTGGATTAGAATATTTTTTTAGTAATTTGAGGGTTTTTATGAACAATTTATTCACACATAGTTTTAAAAGCGTCAACTAAATTCTATATTAGTTAGTATGAGCTGTTCTTTAAGCTGTCCGGTGTTGAGGGTATGAGCTGATCTTTAAGCTGTTCAGTGTTGAGGGTATGAGCTGTTCTTTAAGCGTAAATTTACGCGACGCTCCTATAGGCGGGCTTCTATTAGAATCCATTAGAAGGGCTTCTATTTAGGGTATCTTTATTTGTGTTATGCAAATTTTTAGAACCTGATAAAAGTGGGCGAAGTGCCGGTGACGATCGCGCGAAACATGTTACAGAATGGGGCGTATGCTTTTAAAAACGGACAACTGCCCGTTACAACGGTGAGATTTTAAAATTCATAAACTTTTAATAGATTCATAATGATTAATAGTGATATTTTTTCTTAGATAAACCCCCAAATGATCATTGCAAATCCGGCGATGAAAGCGGTAACAACGGCACCGAAACAACAACAACAACAACAACAACAACAACAACAACAACAACAACAACAACAACAGGTTTAGATTCTCAAAAAAGCAAGTGACTGCACTTTTTGTTCAAAAAGCGTTAAACACGCTTTCTGGTGTACTTAAATCTTCGTCTACTACCAAATCCTTTTGGGAATTGCAATTTGAGTGTGCTAGGAAGTGTTTTTTCTATTTTTGAGCAGAGAAAATACTGTCAAAGAAGGAAAATAAGCGAAAATTGTTAAAAAACCAAAATTGGTTCACCGTAAACTTTTGCTTTGAGTGCTTTGAGCTTTGTGCTTGTGCTCAAGCAAAAAAGCTTCAGCTCATCTTGCTTTAAACACACTCTTTCTGGTGCATTAAAGGCTTCTTTCTTTTCTTCTTTCTCTTCTTCTTTCTTTTATTCTTCTTTATTGACTATTTCTATAAGAAAATGACGAATTAAGTCCACTAGAAAGAGTTTGTTTTCAATTTTTTGTTTAGTTTTTGTTTAGTTTTTGGTTCAGTTTTCAAAAGGTTCAGTTTTTGTAAAGGTTTAGCGAAAAGTTTTGACTACGAGGCCTAGTGGATCGGATTCCACGCAAAATTCTGAGCAAAACTCAGCTTTAAAATCACCCCAATGGGCGCTTTGACGTTTAGTGGTGTGCTTTCTGTTCTCGGAAACACACTGCTAGTGTCCAAGCCACTCCTAGTGTACTGAATTCTTTTGTTTTTCTTTTGCTGCTAACTTGTTTTTGGTTTTTTGAGAGTACGCCGAAGAAATTTACCAAAAAATGAGCACACAAAGTCCAAGCAAAAAAAATCATTCGTTTCTTGTAATTAGTTCTTCAAAAAATTTCTTTATTAACTTACCAACGTATCTATTTAAATCTATATTTAGTTTACATTTCGACCTACATTTAAATCTACATTTAAACCTACATTTAAACCTACATTTAAACCTACATTTAAACCTAATTAGCCCTTTGTTTATAGACTTTTTCAAATTTAAACCGCGGTCAGGGCCCAGAAGTGGCTCATAGCCGCTAGATTATGGAACTTGCTCCCAAACGACATACGAGAAATTCAGTCGCTTTTCATATTCAAGAAACGTATCGATGCTTTAGATCTAGTGGCTCTTTGCCGTAAGTAATTGGCTTATTGATTTCAGTATGTTTTGTATGATTAAGTATCACTGTGCATTTCTCTATGATTTCTTTCACTTTATCGTTCGAATAAAGTATTATTATTATTACCGTAAATACTGTAATAGTACCCCACCCCCATAATGACGGTGCGGAGCGTTGCGTAGTCTAGCTTTGAACGAGTTTTTCTCGACACTGGTTTATGCTACGACGCGCGTTTAGGTATCAAAAAATAACCCTGAATTTCAGCTTTCATTTGATACCAAAGACGCGTTTTTTGAAAGCAGGGACGCTTTGAAAAAAAATGAAATACCAAAAAAACTTTTGCGACTACGCGACTGTACGAGAGGGGTGGGGTACTATTACAGTATTTACGGTAGGGAAAAGCACGAAATTGAAGATAAACTTTTGCCTTGACAGCTGCTAAATGCTAGAAGTTGTTCCAAGAAAAGCAAAAAGAAAAACAAGAACCTATATCATAGACCAAACCCTGATCAGATTCAAATTCAAATTTCTCATACGCGATTCTATAAAGTACACTAGTTCAGACAAAAGCTCATCTTGAGTTTGTCCCTTTTCCTTTTGCCTTTTCCTAGTTAGCTCATCATTTTCCCAATTTAGATCCGCTATCAAGTGGGCGGTCGATCGGCGTGGGTTGGAATGAATGGCAATGGTGGAATCGATCTGTCGACCACTCCCGATTCGGGAATCCAATCTGTGCCCGGCACTCCAAATGCCGAGGTTCTCTCTCCTCCAACAACTGTCAGTCCTTTCTTTTACCCTTTTCTTTTACCCTTTCTCTGAATTTCTGACAATTTGAATTTAGGAATTGTTGAACAGCTTCTCCGAGGATATCAGTGAAGAGAACGAGTCTTTTGACGATATGCCACTTTTGATCCCAGCGAATCAAGAAGAGAATTTGGTGAGAATCAAGAAGAGAATGAGAATGAGAATGAGAATCAAGAAGAGAATGAGAATGAGAATCAAGAAGAGAATGAGAATGAGAGTCAAGAAGAGAATGTTCTGGAAACGGAGTCTATTTCTAGATAGACAGACAAATCTATTTCTGGTCCCATTCAAATCTAGAGGCTTACTTACAACCAACAAGTTCTACAGTCAAGACTAAGTTCTGCTGATCCTCCAAGAAAAACTTTTGATATGAATAGTTGAGAAATACTAACTTCAAGCTAAAAATGAACTAGAAATAAAGCCTGAATCAGAAGCTGGCTTTCTTGGCCTAAATCAGAAGCTGGCTTGCTTGGCCTAAATCAGAAGCTGGCTTGCTTGGCCTGAATCAGAAGCTGGCTTGCTTGGCCTGGATCAGAAGCTGACCAGTTTGTTGACAAACTTGTTCAAAAGATTTGAACGGAGTTAGCTCTCATTGACTATTAGCCGAGTTTTGGTTTTAATAGAAAGCAATGCTTATTGTCGTTTACCTTTAATGCTTACCATTGGAGAAGCTAAATGTTAGCCTAAACCAATTGGCTTGTTTGATCTGTTGATCCCAAGAACAATAAACAAATGAGAAGCAGAGAAGCAAGTCGGTGTCGAAGGCAGAAGTTAGCAGAGCTTAGCAGAGCTTAACAGAGCTTAGCAGAGCTTAACAGAAGTTAGCTCTTACTGTCAAAAGCAGAAGTTATCTTTTGCCATCCAAAAAAGTGGGGTTGATTTGACAGGCGAACTCCTAGCTCTAAGAACAATAATCCAATCGCTTGGCTGGCCTAAATCATGGCAAATGACAAACAGTGAAGATAATTCTCAACTTTTTCAGTTATCGTTGTTGAGCGAGAGCCTCCCACAACAAATGAGCTCACGGAGTGTCGATGATTCAGGTATAATTTAGCATTTAAACAATCATATACAAGTAAATACGTAGTATCAAATGAACAATCATATAAAAGTACATGTTCAAGAGCTAAACTAGCATCTAGACTCTAAATTTTATGACTTTTATCAAACTGTTCTGACTGTTCTGCTATGACTGTTATGACTGTTCCTGGACAAATCGTAAACAAATCAAATCTTTAGTCGAATCGGCAGTTCACGGCTCCGAGTGTGAGCAACCGACGAGCGGTCCCTCGTCACATCATTCAATAAACATCTCACCGAATATGGATCCACAGGAAATCGCTGAGATCATTGCTCAGGTGAATATTTTCATATCAGTCAGATAAAAGTCGTTAAAGTTTTATCGGATTTGGTATCTAGAAGCATAAATTTATGTATTGGGTTTTCCAGTTATGAATGCGTTTTGCTATTTACTATTTTGTAAATTTCTCAAGACATCGAACAGATGTATATGAGTGTTATATATCATTCGAAAGCTGAACATCTCCTCTACATTTTGGAATAAAAAAGTTTTTGAATTCATGCAACTTTTTGGGAAATTGACTGAACAAAGGGAGAGGTGGTTTTCGAAAAAAAATCCACTTCAGCTTAGCTATTCCTCAAGTTTTTTAGTGTAAAATAACCGCCCAGAAAAGAAAAGATGCTCTGAAATTGTTGTATTTAAAAAAAGTTGTATTAATATATCTATTGGCCAAACATCAAACGGTTAACTCAATTTGAGCGGAGCCAAAACTTGATCCAAAGGCACCGAGAGCTGGCTCTGAGCCCTGAGAGCTGGCTCTGAGCCCTGAGAGCTGGCTCTGAGTCCTGAGAGCTGGCTCTGAGGCCTGAGAGCTGGCTCTGAGGCCTGAGAGCTGGCTCTGAGGCCTGAGAGCTGGCTCTGAGGCCTGAGAGCTGGCTCTGAGTCTTGAGAGCTGGTTCTGAGTCTTGAGAGCTGGCTCTGAGTCCTGAGAGCCAAAACTTGATCCATTTTTTGGCCACCTCTTCTTCTGTGCCATCAATTTGCCCAAAAGCTGAACAAATTCAAAAACTTTTCATATCAAAATGTAGAGGAGATCTTCAGCTTTCGAATAAGACTCATCTATATCTTTTTCTTGATTTCGGTATCTTGAGAAATTTATAAAATAGTAAAAAACGCCGATTCATAACTGGACAACCCAATAGAAGCATAAATTTATGTAGAGCTCTAGCTAAAACGTCAATTTTGATCTTTTATAAACGATTTCACAACAAATTTCTAGAGAATGGACCCAGAAAAGGTGAAAACCCTGACGAATCTGATGCGAAAAAAAGCAAAGCTTGTCTCGAAGGTAAGTCAAAAGCAAAACTGTTTAAAACAAAAGCAAAACTGTTTAAAACAAAAGCAAAACTGTTTAAAACAAAAGCAAAACTGTTTAAAACAAAAGCAAAACCGTTGAAAATGTAATCGTTTCTTTGTTTTCAAATAGATTCTATTTATTTCTATATTTGAATTTCAGGAACCTGCAAATGAGACATTCGATTGGTCGGTGAAAAAAGAGGGAAAGGGATCAATGATAGGAACGAAAAGAAGTCGACCATCGAGTGGTGGAAGTGAGGAAACGAGAAGGAGTGAAGAAGAGGGGATGGCTGCCTTCAACAAGGTATCCAGTGGATCAAGTGGATCAAAAGCAAGAAGTTCTAGCTGTAATAACAGCTAGAACTTTGAGGAAGAAACTGTAACTGTTTTACTGTAAACTGTAATCTAAACGAGAGCATTCCATTTTGATCTAATAGTCCTCAAAAGTCAAGTACAATGGGTAGAGTGTGTTCTAGATTTGTAAAAAAGGCATTACATTAGTCGAGAGTCGACTTGTAACAAAAACATCTGTCGATGCTTTTTTGCCGTAGACAATTTAAGGTTTTTCGTGTTTTTCTCAGCACCAGCTCTTTGCTTTTAACTATTTTGAATATCATTCGATGTAGAATGAAATTTCGCGTCGAATGATACCAAAATCAACTTAAAATGTAATATCCACGCAAAGTTGTTGGCTAAAAACCTAAGCCTCGCCCATTATGGACGGGACTTAACCTTTTGCCTCATAACTTTACGTGGATATTATATTTGAAGTTGATTTTGGTATCATTCGACGCGAAATTTCATTCTACATCGAATGATACTAAAATTTAGCTGATTGGATGTAAACTAGCAGTTTGACTACGGGAGTTTTCTCAAAAAGATGCATTTTAGAAAACACTTTACTCGAGAGAACTCTAAAAACGAGTGTATAAGCTATATAAATAAGCTAAAGATGCTCAAAAAGTAGAAAACTCCTAGTACACTCGCGTTTTTTTTCTTCCTCTTCTGGTACACTTGAATCTTTTTCAGATTGATGTGAAACAAGACATTGCTCAGGAGCCGCTCAGCAAAGCTCCGAAAATTGAAATACAAAAGGTTGAGTTGGAAATTTGAAAACCTAATCAAATATAATCTAATCTAATCAAATCTAATCAAATCTAATCTGATCTAATCTAATTAAATCTAATCTAATCTAATCAAATCTAATCTAATTAAATGTAATCTAATCTAGCCAAATCAAATCAAATCAAATCAAATTCAAGTTTCAGAAACGCCAACGCCAAGCGAAAAGCGTCGATCGTGAGTCGAATAGTCGGGCAGAGATTCAGAACAATGAGGATGAAGAGAAACCGTCGACGAGCAAGTGTCAAGAGGTCGACAATGAAGTGAATGATCTGGTGGGATCGGTGGAATGGAATAGGAGTGGAATACAGTGTAGAAGAGCTTTTTGGCCACAAAATATATTGTAGAAGTAAAGTGCAGACAAATAGACATAGACATTCAAAAAACTGTAGACGACAAAGCACTAGCAGCCAGAACTTGTCACTTGGCTTCTAGAGTTTGGTCTTATGTTGATTTTAAAAGTATAGAGTTTAAAAGTATAGTATAAAAGACTATAGCTATCTTCAAGATCGTTGATTGAGCTAGTTGAAAGTTTATTTTGCTATAAAGCAAGTCTATTTTGAAAAGCAAATAAGGGATAGCCTTATCAGGAAACTAGGGATAAGCTTAAGTGCTAAAATGGCAAAAATCGCCATGATGGCTGAACAAAGATGGCTGAACTTTTAAATCAATTACTATTTAAAATTTAGCCAACGCCCATCAATGAACGCATCATCGAGTACAGAAAAGCGGCAAGGTAAGACAAAGTTTGGTTTTTCAAAAAAACGTTTTCTAATTCAGAGATCAATTCAATCATTGTGTTGACGAGCTTTGGCTGAGGATTGGAGCAGAGTTGAAGAATTTGAGGATAAACGAGAAAAAGAGGTGGAACTTTTAAGAACTTTTAAGTGAAGGAACTTTTAAGAACTTTTAAGAACCACGTGAAACTATAAATAATCCAAATCCGATCCAAATATAAAACTAGAGATTGAAAATAAAACTTCAGAGAAACGCCGGCGAAAATGAACAAATTCCCGATCAGAATCAAATGGGATGAGATCGAGAAGAAGTTGAAGAGAGAAACGAAAGAGATTGAAGAGAGGTGCGATGAATTGGGATGAACAATAATCAGAATCAAATAGTTTTCAATAGTAAAACAATAGATTTCAATACAAAAACAATAGTTTTCAATAGTAAAACAATAATTTTCAATAGTAAAACAATCTATTCAATAGTTTTCAATAGTAAAACAATAGTTTTCTATACTAAAACAATAGTTTTCAATACTAGAAAAATAGTTTTCAATAGTAAAACAATAGATTTCAATAGTAAAACAATCTATTCAATAGTTTTCAATCTATCAATATAATTTGCTTTAGAAAAGCCGTGAAACAAGTTTCAATAATCATTCTCAAATAGTTTTCAATACGAAAACAATAGATTTCAATACTAAAACAGTAGTTTTCAATACTAAAACAATCGTTTTCAATAGTAAAACAATCGCTTTCAATACTAAAACAATAGATTTCAATACTAGAAAAATAGATTTCAATAATAAAACAATAATTTCAATACTAAAACAATCGTTTTCAATAGTTTTCAATACTAAAACAATAGATTTCAATAGTTTTCAATACTAAAACAATAGCTTTCAATACTAAAACAATCATTTTCAATACTAAAACAATAGCTTTCAATACTAAAACAATAGTTTTCAATAATAAAACAATCATTTTCAATACTAAAACAATCTATTCAATAGTTTTCAATCTATCAATATGATTTGCTTTAGAAAAGCTGTGAAACAAGAACTTCTGAAGAAGAAAAAAGTGGTGGAGATTGTGGAAGAAGTGAAAGAAATCAAAGAACTCAAAGAACTCAAAGAACTCAAAGAAATCAAAGAAATCAAACAACTCAAAGAAATCAAGAAGTGAGAATTTTTGTGACTTTCTAATATGCTAATTTTTTTTTTCTAGGGAATCAAAAGCAGGTCTTGGTCGTCCAGCAAAGAATGGGAAACTGAAAGAAGTGAAGATTCGATTGCCAAGGTGATTTCCGATCGAGTTGAGCATATTGAAATCATTTGATTTAGATCCGAGCCAAAGAGAGACAGAAGTGGGACAAGAGACACAACATTTGTAGCTGATGGATATCAACACTTGGCAACAAGTACTAGATCAGAATTAGATCAGAACTAGAACTAGAACTAGAATCAAAGATCAAAGACATAGCTGCATAATAAGCTAGTTTTTAAAAGTTTTAACAGTTTTAACTTTTGAAAAACTTGTAGCTTTGATTTTGCTTAGGCTTTTTTTGAGAGAAAAACTCATTCTTTTAAATTTCTCTCACCAGTTTTAGCTAGATTTTTCAATTATCATTTTCCCATTCGTATCCAGTTTTTGATCAGCTTGTTTGGTCAACTTGATAAGCTTGTCTTGTCAGCTTGATGAGCTTGTCTTGTCAGCTTGATAAGCTTGTCTTGTCAGCTTGATGAGCTTGTCTTGTCAACTTGATAAGCTTGTCTTGTCAACTTGATAAGCTTGTCTTGTCAGCTTGATAAGCTTGTCTTGTCAGCTTGATGAGCTTGTCTTGTCAGCTTGATAAGCTTGTCTTGTCAGCTTGATGAGCTTGTCTTGTCAACTTGATAAGCTTGTCTTGTCAACTTGATAAGCTTGTCTTGTCAGCTTGATAAGCTTGTCTTGTCAGCTTGATGAGCTTGTCAGCCAACTTGATAAGCTTATCAGCCAACCTGTCTTCAAACTTTTTTAAAGCTCTGCTTTAGTAGTACTTTAGTAGTGCTTTAGTCTGCTAACTAAACCGTTTCAGGCTCAACCTTGATAAAAAGGACACATTATTAGCATAACAATCATCTTTTCCCTCTTTGATTGATCTACCACTTCAGAATCTCTTTGACTAATCTGATCTCTTTCCAGGCACAGCCTTCGAGGGTGGCCGAGTTCCTGGATGGAGTCATCCACCGCCGAACACTTCATGTGGTTGCAAGAAAGACTGCGGGGATTCGTGTCTCTATCGTCTCATTCGAATCCAGTGCACCAGCTCGTGTCAAGCCGAGAATTGTCACAACAAGGTACGTTAAAAGATTTAGAATCGATTCTCACTAAAACCAAAATGTCACCGGGTAGGGAATAACCTTTTTGAAGAAATTTCATGTAGAAAAACACTTGAAAATTACTTTTTTGATCATTAATTTCTTACTAGAGAAAGGCAAGCACTTGTCGTGGTCTTTTGAAACTAGACCAAACCGATCTTACAGTCTTTTATGAGCCTCTATCTCGTGATAGAGAAGCGTTTGGCAAAAGCTGATTACAGCTTTGGAAACAGTGTGAAAAACTGCATCAGATAGGGTATTTCCCGAGTCAAAAAACCACGATAAGTTAACAACATTCCCTAGTGAGCTGATGATACGATGATAAGCTGATGATACGCATCGTATCATCATTGTTGATCGCATTGATGATCGCAAACAACTTGTTTACAACGCGAACAAATGCTTTCAAGAGTTAAGAGCAAATACTAGCCAAATTTAAGGCAAAAATCGTTCCCAAATTGTTCCTAATTTGCGCATGGCGCCGTAAAACGGGAAAATTACAAAACTTTTCTTACAGAATCGGTCACGCTGCGTTCGAAACTGCTTTTAGTTTTTGGCCTTGATGCTCGTAACCGAAGATATCTTGCTTACAAGTTTTGAGTGCATTTTTGGTCTCTATTTGAGGCCTCCACGCTAGACATGGGCAAAAACTGATTATTAGTAAAATTTGTTATGAATCAAGTGCAAATTTTACTACGTAATATTAAGTCGAGTTGGCTGAAGACCTGACCCGAGTTGGCTGAGGAGTCGGATCGACCTGGCCCGACCTGACCCGGAAAAAAACCGATCTGAAACCCATGTCTACTCCACGCCATCCTTTAGGCGATCCTTTAGGCGTGCATCTGCCCTTTTTGAACGCCGAGGTCCTATTAGTCCTCTGTCTATATAAAGAAACCTTTCTTTTACTCTTTTTCGCCCATTTTATGAGCTTGTATGCCAAAAAGAGCCCAAAAACTTGTATGCCAAATATCTCGCGATAGAGAAGCGTTTGGCAAAAACTGATTGCAGCCTCGGAATCAGCGTGAAAAACTGCATCAGATAGGGTATTTCCCGAGGCAAAAGCCACGATAAGTTAACAACATTCCCAACAACAACATTTGGATCTTTCAATAAATCTAGCAATCTAAGAAATCTAACATTCTTTGCCATAACATTGTCCAATTTTTGCACCCAAATGGCTCAACTTTTTAAAGTTTAATAGCCTAAACGAATGGTTACACCAATAATTATTCAATTTTCAATATTTCTTCAATCAGCTTCAATCAGCTTCAATCAGCTCCTTTCAGCCTTTCCTCAACCCATGCGATGATCTCTATACAAATGAGAAATCTCAAAGCAAATCAAATCATCATCAAAAAGAGGCCGAAATTCATCTATATTCTCGAAGAAGAATCCATTCTGGAGCATTTGTGGTTAGTTTTTTTTTTGGAAAGATTCAAAAATTTAACTATCAAATTTTTTTATATAATAGGTTGATGCATAAGTCTTTTCGTTTTTTTTCGTACTTTTGTTAAAAAGTAACAAATTCACCAATTAATCTATAGTTTGCTCTATAAAAAAAGTGTTTTTTTTGTTCAATTTGCATCTTTTTAAAAATACCGACTGGGGCTACCAGTGGTGAATTTATCGAAAACACGAAATATATCAATCACAATACAACGACACACACAATACTAGGCTATATCTTAACTTAACCCACGTCATGACAGACGGCTCCCTAACCCTAAGCTCAATGGGGAACTAAATAGCTTTTTTGGTGGTGAAGGGAAGAAGACGATGAAGGAGTGGCTTGTCACTTTAAAGAACTGGGGCCACAACCACCAGACTGCCCTCCAGAAAACCTCTCAACCCGAAGGGAAAGGAAATCCGAAGGGGGTGACCATGTCGCATGTGGGGTTCGAACCCTCGACCTTCCGATTAAGATAAAAGACACTTAACCAGTCAGCCACACGTGCTTTTTAAATGAATTTCGGTTCACTTTCAAGCAAATTCGAGAGTGAAAAACGCCTTTTTCGTAAAAATCTATAAAAAAACTCTACGGAAAAATTGGCTGAATGAATTTCTCTGAAATTTTGGCGAAATATCAAACGTTTTTTTCTCTATCTTTTATCTATTGACACGAAGATAGGTTTTCTTTAGCTAAGGTGTCTAAACCGCATCATCGAGTTAGCCCTTTTTGACTACCCGACTTCATACTCTCAAGAAAATCCAGGCATTAAATATTTTTAAACCCGTTTTAATGTTATTTTGCAGAAAAATAATTGCTTTTTCTAATGAAATCAACCGTAGTTTAATTCGTGCATTTGTTGGCTTGAAACGGCAGACGAAAAGGAACAAAAACACTTATGCATCAACCTAATACAATAAAGCCTTAAATCAACAATCAACAAAACGCGAAATTTTTAGTGTGAGTTCGCTGGCGAAGTGATCAATCAGAAGGAAATGGAAAAAAGGATTAAAAACGAGTATTCGGATAAAACGGTGGGCATGGGATTAAAGTTTTAAATAAGAAATGTATAAGAAATGCATAAGAAACATGCATAAGAAATGCGGATTTGAACATTTTCATAAATTTCCAACGATAGAAACATTCATCGATTTCCTGATATCGATGAATGTTATAAACTATTTGAAAGTTGTAAACGAAAGCTGTAAATCTCCTCTACAAAATAGGCTAAAAGGTGTTTCAATTGATCGAAGCATTGAAGAAATTTCGAGGGTCAAATGCGAGTGACCAAAAAAGGAATCGAGTCACTTTAGGGACAAGTTTAGTGTGCTCAAAATAGAGTCAAAACCCCACTTTCACAAGGGTTCGCTTTTGATTATATAGTGGAAAATGACGGCCCTAAAATATCATTGAAAAATATCATTCAAAATAATTAAGAGTTGGGATCATTTCATGGGAAAACTTTGTTTTTGCAATAATTTTTCCTTTCTGGGAAAAAGCTGGGTTTTTTTTTTGACAATTTTGAGGTTTTTAAACTTATGCTTTATCAAAATTTCTGTAAATGCATTTCCGTTAGACTTTTTAAACAATTGATATATAGTTATTCTTTCTTTTTTACATCTTCAATTTTGGGAAGCTAACTCTATTTTGAGCACACTAAAATTGTCCCTAAAGTCCCTCGATTCCTTTTTTTGGTCACTCGCATTTCGCCCTTGAAATTTCTTCAATGGTTCGATCAATTGAAACACGTTTTAGCGTATTTTGTAGAGGAGATTTACAGCTTTCGTTTACAACTTTCAAATAATTTATAACATTCATCGATATCAGAAAATCGATATTAGGAAATCGATGAATGTTTCTATCGTTGGAAATTTATGAAAATTTTGAAATCGCATTTCTTATGCATGTACCGAATAGAATTGACTAATAGAACTTGGTTTTAGTTTGATTTTTGAAACAAATCTTGTTTTTGAAACGATTTTGGAAACGATTTTTGTTCAGATACGAGCCTTGGCGTTGTGTTCGCGGATATTTGTTGACGCGACTTTGAAGGGAAATCTCGGCCGCTTTGTCACTCACTCGTGCACCGCAAATGCTGAATTTCAAGTGTGGTAAGTGGACAGAATTGTGACTTTTGACAGAATCCTATTCAAAATGAAGATCTTCAATTGATTTGCTTTTGCACTAGTGATTTGCTTTTGCAATAGATCAGTTACAGGCTTGTGAATGGTCGCCTCAAAGCGGGAATCTTCGCTAGAGATGAAATCGATAAGGATACAGCGATTACGGTCAGTTTAATGATCATTTTAGGGCATTTTTTTTAAGCTCAAAGTATACTTTAAAGAAAAATCAATCAAAGAAATCAATTCTGACTCTAGGTTTCCTTTTCTCGACAATCCCCAATCGAATGCTTGTGTGAATGCAAGAAATGTCTCTCGCAAGCCGCCACTTCTCCAGTTTACAATAAAGCTGCTCGGAATCCTCATTTAGCAATGGCTGACGATATTTGCTTCAAGGTTTGGCTTAAGATTTGGCTTAAGATTTGAAAAATAGAAATCTATAACTTGTAGCAATCAAAATAGTTTTTCAAATTTCTCTTTCAGGAAGAGAGCATCGTTCAAAAGGAGCGCTTATTCTTGCTTAGAAATCGGGCTCTTTTGGTGAATCGAGCCGTTTGGAATGGAGGTAAAAACGTAGAAAAAAAGAAATTAATGAATTAAATTAATGAAGAATGAGCTCATCGTCTAAACTCAAAAACTTTTTTTAGCGCCGATTCGTTTACTGGCAGTGGATCGAGTGGGTAAAGGGTCGAGGAATGCAATGAGACATGTGAGTCACAGCGAAACCTATTCGCTCACTAAACTCTTCACTTAGCGCACAGATATTCGACCTAGAGGTACTGAGGGCACCTAGCGCAAATCTGATTGCAAATTCGGATTCCTCGCCCCCGAAAACCCTCCGAGTACAAATTTTCAGCTTTCTAGCTCAGCTTGGAATTTTACGTTAACATAATTTGTATTATCGCGTAGACATGACAGACAGACAGACAGACAGACAGACAGACAAACAAACGAACGTTTGTCTGTATGTCCGTCCGTCTGTCTGTCCTAAGAACCAGCAACTTAAGAGTCCAACAACTTAAGAGTCCAACAACTTAAGGGTCTAATAACTTAAGAGCCAAGACCTTAAGAGCCAAAACCTTAAGAGCTACTAGTTAGGACAAGTTCAAAAGCTTCAGTCGGCTCTGTTTAAACCTACTTTTTTCTTGCAGTATACTTTATATTGAAGTTATCTCTGAAAAAGCACTCTTTTAACGACTATATCTGAGCAAATTTAGCAATTTGATGTAGGGAAAAAGTTATAGTAAACAAAAAAGGAAATACAATTCACTAAAAAGGCCAAAAACTCATGTGCTAAAAGTACATGAGTTTTTCACTGTTTAAGATAAAACTTTGAACTCAAATATCTTGCCTTTCGGTTGTCCAATTTAAATAGTTTTTTTACCAATCGACAGAGAAAGATTTGGCGCATCTAATGATACCAAGAATCTCTAAATTGAACAGCCCAAAGCCAAGATATTTGAGCTCAAAGTTAGATTGCCAATGGCAAAAGGGGCGGGGCGTGTCCCATCTTTTATACGTCTCAACTCATACCAAGAATATTTAAATTGAACAGCCGAACATCAAGATACTTGAGCTCAAAGTTAGATTGCCAATGGCGAAGGGGTGGAGCATGTCCCACCTTTTATACGCGCCCCGCCCCTTTTTCCATTGGCAATCTAACTTTGAACTCAAATATCTTGGCTTTGGATTGACCAATTTAAATAGTTTTTGTACCAATCGATAGAGAAAGATTTGGCGCATCTAATGATAACAAGAATATCAAAATTGGATAGCCCAACACCAAGAAAGCTAAAGCTCAAAGTCAGATTGCAGATTGGGAAAAAGTTATAGTAAACAGAAACAGATGAAACAGAAAAGGAAATACAATTCACAAAGTAAATGAGTTTTTCACTATCTCCACTCTTTAAGCCAAAAAACTAGTTCTGTTTTCCCATTTTCTCCATGAAAATCATCATTTTCAGGTCCTTCAATTGATCGCGAGACGTGCCCGTTATCCAGACGGATCAATGCCATTGAGGCTACTAAAATACTACTCAAAGTGCATCGAATCTCTCCGTTTTGGCGCTGACAAACGAACGTTCATCGAGCATCTGAAAGAATTCTCCCGAGAATCGAATTGCTCAAAACTTCACAAGTAAATACAAAGTTAAGACATAAATAATGGATTTTTTTTTAGAAAACTTATCGATTGTTACTTGGGCAAAAAGGCAATCACCTCCAGAATCGAGATAAAAGAAGAGATAAAAGAGGAGAAAGACGAGGTGAAGAGCGAGGGATCACAAAGGGATGAGAAGCCAAGGAAGCGATTGTCTGGAGTGAATTTCGAGTATCTGCAATGCGATCAATTGGTGAGCTCGATGTTCTTTATGAGTTTAGATCAAGTGACACATGAGAATTCTTCAGAATATTATTATTTTCACAAAGCTCTACGATTCGTGAACCTTCAAAAACCTTCAAAAACCTCCAAAAACCTCCCATTGCCTCTAGACTTTGCTAATTTGCCGCTAATTAAACTTTGCAAATAATTTCTCGAGAAAAATATAGCCTTCTTGAACTCATGATTTGCAATGTTTAAATTCAGATCGGCTCTTATGACCCAGACGATGCTTGGCCAACGGGGAAAGCAAATGAATGCGACGATGCGATTCGATGCATTTGTGGATCGTTGGAAGAAGATGGGAAAATGCTACAGGTGAGTGGGAAGATGCTACAAAATACATTTCGAGTGCCCCTCCCCCTCTGCCCCCCAAGTGTCCCCTAAGTGTCCCCTAAGTGTCCCCTAAGTGTCCCCTAAGTGTCCCCTAAGTGTCCCCTAAGTGTCCCCTAAGTGTCCCCTAAGTGTCCCCTAAGTGTTCCCTAAGTGTCCCTCTAAAGTGTCCATCTAAAGAACACTTTTCGACTTAAGGGGGCACTTGGAGGGGCACTTGGGGGGCAGAGGGGGCACTTGAGGGGGCAAAGGGGGCCCTTGGGGGGCAGAGTGGACACTTGAGGGGGCAAAGGGGGCCCTTGGAGGGGCAGAGGGGCCACTTGAGGGGGTAAAGGGGGGCCCTTGGAGGGACACTCTAAATGTATACAGGTGAGTGAGAAACAAAGATCTTTTAAGTGCAAAAGAAGTTACATTGAAATATAATATTTCTAATGGAAGCGAATGCACTTTTATTTTCAATCATTCCACAAAATTGCTTCTATTAGAGACTGCGCTTCTATTAGAATAAATACGATACCTTTTATTTAGTGTGACGAGTGTCACTACTGGCTGCACAGTGATTGCATTGGAATGGAGCCGAGTGGAGAAGTGGTAAGTGGCTGTTAGATTGTTAGATTGTTAGATTTGTTAGAATTTTAGATTTGTCTTTTTGTTGTTTTTTTTTTCTTCTGGTACACTCGAATCTTTTTCAGATTGATGTGAAACAAGAAATTGCTCAAGAGTCGCTCAGCAAAGCTCCGAAAATTGAAATACAAAAGGTTGAGTTGGAAATTTGAAAGCCTAACCAAATCAAATCAAATCAAATCAAATCTAATCAAATTCAAGTTTCAGAAACGCCAACGCCAAGCGAAAAGCGTCGATCGTGAGTCGAATAGTCGGGCAGAGATTCAGAACAATGAAGATGAAGAGAAACCGTCGACGAGCAAGTGTCAAGAGGTCGACAATGAAGTGAATGATCTGGTGGGATCGGTGGAATGGAATAGGAGTGGAATACAGTGTAGAAGAGCTTTTTGGCCACAAAATATATTGTAGAAGTAAAATGCAGACAAATAGACATAGACATTCGAAAAAACTGTAGAAAACAAAGCACTAGCAGCCAGAACTTGTCACTTGGCTTCTAGAGTTTGGTCTTATGTTGATTTTAAACGTATAGAGTTTAAAAGTATAGTATAAAAGACTATAGCTATCTTCAAGATCGTTGATTAAGCTAGTTGAAAGTCTATTTTGCTATAAATCAAGTCTATTTTGAAAAGCGAATAAGGGATAGCCTTATCAGGAAATTAGGGATAGCCTTATCAGGGTAAGCTAAGCATTAGGGATAAGCTTAAGTGCCAAGAGCAAGTGTCAAGAGGTCGACAATGAAGTGAATGATCTGGTGAGATCGGTGGAATGGAATAGAAGTGGAATAAAGTGTAGCAGAGCTTTTTGATCACAAGAAAACACTGTAAATAGTTGAGCAAAGTGTTTTTGTGTTGGTGGATTCGTTTTTAATGAGATTCTAGTTTAGATTCTAGTTTAAATCTGTGCAAAGACTTTCTTGCTAGTTAAAATTTTTGGTTTTCATGGTTTTAAAAAAAATATCTTTCCAGGGAGAGTACAAATGCAATTTCTGCAACGGAAAGATCACCTCAAATCGACCGTCAACGGATGTTATCTTAAAGGTAAACTTTTTGCCATCAAATGCCATCCAGTTCCCCAACACACACTTTCTAGTGCACTGAATTCTCTATTTTGTTGTTGTTATTAGAAAATGAAAGGAATAAGTGCGCCAGAAAGGATGCGTTTTGAGCTTACGAGCTATTTTGAGCTTAAAGAACATTGCAAATTGAAAACTGCCGGCTATTGTCATATGTGACAGTTTGAGCACTTTCTTCAGAAGAAACCCATTTTGGTGTCAATGGAAAAGTTGTAGAGAATCAAAAATCAAGCTTATATCCAAATTTTCAGAACCATTCAAAAACTGGTTTTCAAGAAATGCCAAATTTACGAATTTTCACAAAACTCGCATTTCACAAAACATTTTAAGTGAAACTACTAAGTGTATCTTTTTGGAAATTTGGCTATAAGCCTAACTTTTGATTCTCTACAACTTTTCTATTGACACCAAAATGGGTTTCTTTTGAAGAAAGTGCTCAAACTGGGACATCTCCAGTCCTCGATTTTTGAGTCTCACACTTGTCTCACACTCAAACCAAAATCCTACTACGAAAGGGGAATTCGCAAATTGCCTGTAAAATGGGCAGAAGTCGAGGAAGAAGAAGAGGAAGCGGCAATGGGTGGGGTCAGGCGAGAAACCCGAAAGTGACCCCAAGCCCGATTTGCACCAGAGGAAGTTTATGCTCTGCGTTTTCTGGGATATGGAGGGAGTGGTGTACTGGGAGTTGCTGGATAGCAAGGCGACCGTTAATGTAATCAAATACAGTGAACAGTTGGGAAAGGTGAATGAATCCCTGAAGAAGAATAGCCCTTCAAGTCAAAGATCGTTCTCCTCCACGACAACGCGCGCCCTCATGTTGCAAAGTTGACTCGCTCTAAAATAAATAGCCTTGTTTGGGAACCTTTGGCGCATTCCCCATACAGTCCAGCTCCTTTTGATTACTATTTATTCCGTATGATGAGTAATGAGCTTGCGGGAGAACACTTCGATTCGGAAGAAGCATTCAAAAATTGGCTCTAAGAGTTTTTCGATTCAAAACCAAAATCCTACCACGAAAGAGGAATCCGCAAATTGCCTGTAAAATGGGCAGAAGTCGTCAATAATAATGGAAATTATTTGGAATGAATTCATGGTTTTTTGTTAAAGAAATTTTAGTTTGAAAGTCCGGCAGTTTTCAATTCACCAACCCAATAGTTACAGCATTCCTTTCCTCCGCCTACTCTAGACTTACACTTACTTATTTAATAGAAATCACAACTACCTAACTATATCTAACAATATAGTGCCTAACTATCTAATTATATAGCGCCTAACAACCCAATATTTCAAGAATTTCAAGAATTTCAAGAATTTCAAAGATTTTGAAGAATAATATTAATAAATATTGATAATATATTGATAATATTAATAATACTAATAATAATATTAATAATATTAACAATATTATCTTTAAAAAACTTCTCAAATTCAATTCCTCTTTTCCAGAATCAACCCGAAGTGAGCTTTCCCGGCTGTACCTATTTTAAGGCGCTCGTCAACGAGTACGGGATCCAGGTTTGCGAAAGTAATCTACCAAAAACCAAAGAACAATTCAGATTCGATTAAATGAAAGCGTTTACGTGGAGAAATTGACGGGTGATGAGGTGAAAAAAAAGCTTTGCATAAAATCTCTTTTCAACAAAATTTTCAGCACAAAAAATCCCTAAGAAAGTCTCTCGAACAATCGGAAGCGGATAACGAAAAGAAAGTGAAAAGAACACTGAAAATAAAGAAGCCGTAAGTCTTCAAATATAATATTTAAGGAGATTATAAATATTAAGGAGTTAATGTTGGCAATGAATTATTTTAAAACGATTCTTTTAAATGAATTATTTTAATTGAATTCTTTTAAATGAATTCTTTTAAATGAATTCTTTTAAATGAATTCTTTTAATTGAATTCTTTTAAATGAATTCTTTTAATTGAATTCTTTTAAATGAATTCTTTTAAATGAATTCTTCTCTTTTAGCTCCTCACAACTTCCAATCCGAGAGTTCTCACGTCAAAATGTTGGCATCATGCGGGTGGAGCGGTTGATCTTGACGAGCGATGGGAAGAGGTGAAATGAAAGGAATTTCAGAAAGGATTAAAACGAAAAGAGATTATAATTCGACTTCTTTAGGCATAAATTGATGCAGAATACAAAAGAAAGCACAAAAATAAGCACAAATTTATTCGGTTTTGGTTAGCCGGGCAAAGGATTACCGGACATTTCATACAAACCCGCCTCTTTTCCCATTGGCAACTTTGAGCTTTAGCTTTCTTGGTGTTGGGCTATCTAATTTTGATACTTTTAATATCATTAGATGCGCTAAATCTTTCTCTATCGATTGGTACAAAAACCATTGAAATTGGTCAATCCAAAACCAAGAAATTTGAGCTTAAAGCTAGATTGCTAATGGCAAAGGGGCGGGGCGTGTCCCATCTTTTATACGTCCCAACTCATACCAAGAATATTGAAATTGAACAGCCGAACATCAAGATATTTGAGCTCAAAGTTTGATAGCCAATGGCGAAGAGGGCGGAGCATGTCCCACCTTTTATACGCGCCCGGCCCCTTTTGCCATTGGCAATCTAACTTTAAGCTCAAATATCTTGGTTTTGGATTGTCTAATTTAAATAGTTTTTGTACCAATCGATAGAGAAAGACTTGGCGCATCTAATGATAACAAGAATATCAAAATTGGATAGCCCAACATCAAGATAGTTGAGCTCAAAGTCAGATTGCCAATGGCAAAGGGGCGGGGCCCGGATCAAACTCCTATAATCGGGCAAAAATGCGGAAGTACTCAATTTTATAACCGATTTATATGTAAATTGATCTTTAACTGCTTACTTCATTGAATTTTAGCATTTTTTCCTAGTTTTGATATGGTTTTGAATAGATTTTAGCTAGAATTAATGAACATAAAAATAATAAAGTCGTTTATACAATTTCCCCGCTTATTTTTACCAAACTAGTGGCAAAGGCGGGTGAAATTTACATTTATTCTGTTTTCGTTGACGGAGCAAAGATACGAAAGTACCCAATAGACATTAAAGTAGAGTACTGGAGTCGGTACTAAAGAAGAAGCAGCCTAAACAGCTCAGTTTTCCATTCTGATACTTCCATCATTTCAAAAACTCAAATCAGACTTTCTAAAAGCCTCATTCAACTTTCTATAAGCCTCATTCACCTTTTCCACTTCTTAATATGTCAAGCAAAGCATGAGCATTTTTTTGTTTCCAATTTTTCCAATCACTCATTCAGATGGATCTTCGGTTTCTATTATGCCCGTCCACACGAGACATTCAAGGATCCGACGAGGAAATTCCATCCAAATGAGGTAAGGAATTGAAAGATTTACAAGAATCTATAGAATTATCTGTAAAAGAAAGAAAGAAAAGAAAAGAAAAGAAAAGAAAAGAAAAAGAAAAGAAAAGAAAGAAAAAGAAAAGAAAAGAAAAGAAGAAAAGAAAAAGAAAAGAAAAGAAAAGAAAAAGAAAAGAAAAGAAAAGAAAAAAAAGAAAGAAAAGAAAAGAAAAGAAAAAGAAAAGAAAAGAAAAGAAAGAAAAGAAAAAGAAAGAAAGAATCTTCAGGTGCTCTCCACTCAAATGTATGATACATTGCCATTAAATGCAGCGGTTGGGCGATGTTCGGTGCTGAAATCCTCAATCTGGACAGAGGGATACCCATCGATTCCACGACTTTTGGTAAGGTTTTTGACAAGATGGAAAGTATAAAAAGCTTTTTGACAAGCTGGAAAGTATAAAAAGCTTTTTGACAAGCTGGAAAGTATAGAAAGCTTTTTTTGACAAGCTGGAAAGTATAGAAAGCTTTTTTGACAAGCTGGAAAGTATAAAGCTTATAATAAAAAGCTTTTTTGACAAGAAAATATAAAATTATTAGAGATAAATATTAGAAAATCTTCAGTTTTTCAGTTTTCAGTTTTTCAATTTTTCAGAAACTTTTCAGGAAAAAGACATTCTCTTCTGCGAGTTCGAGATGCACTCGAAGACTCGAATCATCAAGAAATTGCCTAGAAATCAGCACTATTTCGTTAATCAACATCCATATGCTTTCATAAAGTTTCCCGAGAAGCGAAACATTGAGAGAAGATTACAGGTTTGGCTTTAAATATTTTAAATATTGGGTTGGTGAATTGAAAACTGCCGGCTATTGTCATATGTGACAGTTTGAGCACTTTCTTCAGAAGAAACCCATTTTGGTGTCAATGGAAAAGTTGTAGAGAATCAAAAATCAAGCTTATATCCAAATTTTCAGAACGATTCAAAAACTGGTTTTCAAGAAATGCCAAATTTACGAATTTTCACAAAACTCGCATTTCACAAAACATTTTAAGCGAAACTGCTAAGTGTATCTTTTTGGAAATTTGGCTATAAGCCTAACTTTTGATTCTCTACAACTTCTCTATTGACACCAAAATGGGTTTCTTTTGAAGAAAGTGCTCAAACTGGGACATCTCCAGTCCTCCATTTTTGAGTCTCACACTTGTCACACACACAAACCAAAATCCTACCACGAAAAAGGAATCCGCAAATTGCCTGTAAAATGGGCAGAAGTCGAGGAAGAAGAAGAGGAAGCGGCAATGGGTGGGGTCAGGCGAGAAACCCGAAAGTGACCCCAAGCCCCATTTGCACCAGAAGAAGTTTATGCTCTGCGTTTTCTGGGATATGGAGGGAGTGGTGTACTGGGAGTTGCTGGATAGCAAGGCGACCGTTAATGTAATCAAATACAGTGAACAGTTGGGAAAGGTGAATGAATCCCTGAAGAAGAATAGCCTTTCAAGTCAAAGATCGTTCTCCTCCACGACAACGCGCGCCCTCATGTTGCAAAACTGACTAGCTCTAAAATAAATAGCCTTGTTTGGGGACTCCTGGCGCATTCCCCATACAGTCCAGCTCCTTTTGATTACTATTTATTCCGGATAATGAGTAATGAGCTTGCGGGAGAACACTTCGATTCGGAAGAAGCAGTCAAGAATTGTCAAAAAGTTTTTCGATTCAAAACCAAAATCCTACTACGAAAGAGGAATCCGCAAATTGCCTGTAAAATGGGCAGAAATCGTCAATAATAATGGAAATTATTTGGAATGAATTGATGGTTTTATGTTGAATAAATTTTAGTTCAAAGTCCCGCAGTTTTCAATTCACCAACCTAATACTTAAAAGTTACACGTCTTTTTTTAGCCATTCTCCTCTTCAAGTTCAATAAAGATCGTTGATGAGAAGAAAATGGAAAAAATGGAAGAGAGCACAAAAGAAAAGAAGGTACGTTTGTTTATAGGAGATTTACATTTAATAGAATAGACTGGATTTTCAATATTTACAACGATTTTGATAGATTAGCTCTGTTTTTGATCGATTAGCTTCTTTTTCCTTTTCCTTTTTCTTTTAGCGCGCTTTTTTTTGGTAGAAATTCAATTTTAATGTGCTAAGTGTTAATTAAAATATTGAAGCTCTCTAATAAAATGAGTTCTATATCTCCAATTGGAAAACCTTGAATAGAGAAATGTAGCCAAGAATAAGGGCCTCAATATTTTACGTAGCACTTAACACATTAGAGTTGAACTTGATGCTTGGGAGCTACTTAAAAAGAAGTCGCCGTAAATACTGAACACCGTTTAGGATCGATTTCACAATGTTTTGTGAAATGCGAGTTTTGTGAAAAGTCGTAAATTTGGCAAAGTATTCGCATTTTGTTTGAATTCGATTTTTAAATTTTTAAAAGTTTATTTAAAAGTTTATTTAAGAGTTTGTTTTTAAGTTTGTTTTTAAGTTAAACCAAAGGATTTTAAGCTTCAGGCACCAAAAGGCTCACCACGCTTGGACAGACTCGTCGATCGACTCAAGATCGACTCAATCAACGCAACAATGACCTAATCTAGCCTAAAGCTCATCTAGATCTCAATCTAGATCCAGATCATCTAGATCCAGATCATCTAGATCCAGATCATCTAGATCTCGATCTAGATCCAGATCATCTAGATCTCGATCTAGATCCAGATCATCTAGATCTCGATCTAGATCCAGATCATCTAGATCTCGATCTAGATCCAGATCATCTAGATCTCGATCTAGATCCAGATCATCTAGATCTCGATCTAGATCCAGATCATCTAGATCTCGATCTAGATCCAGATCATCTAGATCTCGATCTAGATCCAGATCATCTAGATCTCGATCTAGATCCAGATCATCTAGATCTCGATCTAGATCCAGATCATCTAGATCTCGATCTAGATCCAGATCATCTAGATCTCGATCTAGATCCAGATCATCTAGATCTCGATCTAGATCCAGATCATCTAGATCTCGATCTAGATCCAGATCATCTAGATCTCGATCTAGATCCAGATCATCTAGATCTCGATCTAGATCCAGATCATCTAGATCTCGATCTAGATCCAGATCATCTAGATCTCGATCTAGATCCAGATCATCTAGATCTCGATCTAGATCCAGATCATCTAGATCTCGATCTAGATCCAGATCATCTAGATCTCGATCTAGATCCAGATCATCTAGATCTCGATCTAGATCCAGATCATCTAGATCTCGATCTAGATCCAGATCATCTAGATCTCGATCTAGATCCAGATCATCTAGATCTCGATCTAGATCCAGATCATCTAGATCTCGATCTAGATCCAGATCATCTAGATCTCGATCTAGATCCAGATCATCTAGATCTCGATCTAGATCCAGAGCATCTAGATCTCGATCTAGATCCAGATCATCTAGATCCAGATCATCTAGATCCAGATCAGCTAGATCTCGATCTAGATCATCTAGATCCAGATCATCTAGATCCAGATCATCTAGATCCAGATCATCTAGATCCAGATCATCTAGATCTCGATCATCTATATCTCGATCATCTAGATCTCGATCATCTAGAGCTATCGGATTGAAAACATCTCATTGAACTTTGATTCAAACATTGATCTACCACTTTTTAACGCTTTCACTTTGTGCCTAAACTCGAAACACTGGATCTTTTATATCCCGAGATCTCGACAATGTTCCAGAGATGTGTTTCAAAAATGTGTTTCAGTTTTTCGAAGTAAATCCCATCCCTACTTTGAACTATTCGTGAACTGTGTTTCTCTTAATCAAAATGTTTTCTAAAACTACCGTAATCTGAATCTAAAACTACCGAAATTCGGAAAACTACCGTAATCCAAATCCCCTTGTTGACAATGGGATTACGGTGGCTCGCTGGGGTTACGCTAGTTTTCTAATGACGGTTGAATTACGCATTTCTCACTAGATTACAGTCTACACTAGACCTGGGAATTTTCGGTGCGAACGTCAATAGGCATACAACGGAAAAGCCTCAGCCAATTAGTCTCAGCCAGGCCTCAGCCAGGCCTCAGCCTCAGTCTCAGCCAGGCCTCAGCCTCAGTCTTAGCCTCAGTCTCAACCAATCTCGGTCATATCTCGATCAATTTCACTCCAACCTTTTTTGCTTTTTGCGTCAATTAACGCAGAATTTCATTCTCTATCGATTGAAATCAGGGACAAAAAGATTTAAATGAAATTGATCAAGACTTTCCTAGAAATGATGGCCAAGATTTTCCAGCAATCGGCCAAGAGGCGGCTGGAGAAAACGAAGCTGGATTTTGGTGCGGCTTGGAATTTTCCCAGGTCTAATCTATATAATAACATCTTTCTCCCAATCATCCAATCATCCACCTTTTTGCATTTCTTATCGACGGGTACTATGATGTATATTTCAGCTATCAAAAATCCTCTCGAATTTCAGTTTTCTTTCAATTTTCTTTTTCTTTTTCAGTTTTTATTTTTTATTTTTTATTTTTCTCCATAAACCGGTGCCAGTTTTTCACAAAAAGCATTGTTTTGATAGTAAGGAAACGTTTAGAAACGTTTAGAATTTTACTGAGTGTTTACATCTTCTTCATTTTCCCATTTTCCGAATCCAAATCTATACTTTATTGAGAAATCTCTTTGTTCTGACAGTTTTGAGTCGTTCTGACAAGTGTCGATCGATTTGATCCGATTAAAACAAGGCTAAGATCCGATCCGATTAAAATAAGACTAAGATCCGATCCGATTAAAATAAGACTAAGATCCGATCCGATTAAAATAAGACTAAGATCCGATCCGATTAAAACAAGGCTAAGATCCGATCCGATTAAAACAAGGCTAAGATCCGATCCAATTAAAATAAGGCTAAAATCTAATCCAATTAAAACAAGGCTAAGATCCGATCCAATTAAAACAAGGCTAAGATCCAATCCGATTAAAATAAGGCTAAGATCCGATCCAATTAAAATAAGGCTAAGATCCGATCCGATTAAAATAAGACTAAGATCCGATCCAATTAAAATAAGGCTAAAATCTAATCCAATTAAAACAAGGCTAAGATCCGATCCGATATTAATTCTGTTTTCACAATCTAGACAGAATGCTTGATCTGATTTGGGAGATTCTTGTTTTAGCCCAGTTAGATCAAGATTTCAAGCTTACCAGCCTCACTAGAGAAGAGTACTAAGAAAAGAAAAACGTTTCGTTTGTCAAGTGGGGGATTCGAACCCACCACAGATATCTCTGATTAGTTCCGTAGACAGGCACACTACCCGCTACACCATGTCGTTGAAAACTAAGCGTAAACTCAGCTCAAGAGAAGAGAAGCGTCAACTCAACTCAAGAGTGTATAGCAAAAACTTAGAGGCCAGAAATCTTACGTTTGCGAG